GAAACAAATCACTGGTAATTTATATAGAACACACAAATCAAATAGCACGAACAACATATGGTAGTATATACATATAGTAAAATAAAACCACACAAACGAGCCCCAAACGTCTAAAAGACAAATCAGTATTTAAATAATGATATGAATAAGCTAATAAGACAAGTAGATGTATATTTGTGTTACGGTCTGAACGTTGAATAATTTCGCTCAGTGTCTATCCGATAAAAGCCAGAGTTCTTGATAGCCTGATAGGAGTAAAGAAAGTTAAATTGAAAATTACAATTGCAGCGCGAAAGCTAAATTGCGTATTTTCAACTCAACTACCACGAGAAGGTCTGAGGTGTGGCGCGCGCAGCGGTTATACATGTAACTCTCGCCTCCCAAATGATCTGGCATGGGTTCGAATCCTGGACACGGTGCAATGCGTGGATCGATTTAGCTTGCGTTGGATACGTTTGAAGGAAAGGACGTTGCGTTGCGGGATGCTGAAAAACGAAGGTTGAGCATTGCAGGGATTATGTAGGAACCGCTCTTGAACACCATAACGATTGCAGCGATCACCAAGTGACGAGCTCTAACACTATCATGGAAACCAGACTTAAGAGGCAGTCTCCCTAAAAGCGGTCCACTCGATTTCGCGACAAAAAATACTTTTGCTTTATTTTTTGTCGATGAAGAGGCTTTAGTAGGTGTATACTAAAATCGCTATTTTTGTTTTCAAATTCTTATTCTTAGCTCTGCTACAAGCCAAAAACGAATTGAGTCCGTCTCGGCTTCTCAGAGAGTGTTTCGAAGACTAAAATTGATGGATTTTGAAAAGCGCGTTGCAAACAACCGAATGCCCGCACAAAAAATCTGTTCAATTCAGTTTTTTTAGTTAACCTTCGATAGTTCACAGGCTAAATAAAAATATCCTTGATCAAAACGTGTTCAAGTTACAGTGGTTCAAGGAATACCTATTTTGCAAGCTTGATGAAACCTTGAAAGTAAGGAAGATTTGAGGCAAAATATCTCAAAAGTTGCGGCCTAAATCTGGTTTAAAAATCATATCAAAGTAAAGTTTTAAGCTTATTTTTTTGGTTTATAGGCTCAAACTTGCGGGTATCTTCTGGGATTGCAACCAACAGTAGATTATAATCTGCCATTTTGCGTATTTGCATAATTACAGGCCGTTTCAGATGTCATGATTGTACAGGTTAAAAGTTCCATAAAATTGCCTCTTTTGACACTTGAATTCGTCTCCGGCCTCTAAAAGAAAGTAATTAAGCTTCTTTAAGTACTTTTGAATCGAAAGAGATATACTAACAGGGATGGTCATGCATGTTACTGATTAACACGATCAACTGGCGGGCGCCATCGTCTTGTAACTACCTGCACTGAACAGTAAACAATGTTTTTAATAGAATTCTCTAGATCAGAAGTTGATCCAAGCTCTCTAAGTAATAAAAATAAATATCACTATCCCGGGATACAAAACATGCACAAGAAAGGCAACGTAGAATTTTAAGTTCTTTACGCAATTTCAGAGTGAATTCCACCGCGGTGCATATAAAAGTCCATGAATTATTGTAATAATCAGGCTGTTTAAAAACGTTTGACGCACAACAAAAACAATTAGTAATTTACCGTTTTATCTGTTCTCGGTAAATAAGACGCTTACCTTTACTTTAGATTCTTGATGGAAGAAGTCTATCCAGGCAGCTGAAGTTAGGCAGTTTCGTTTCAAAATCAAATCATGGCGTGATAGTGTCACGTAATGTTATGGTCACGTGGCTACGTAACCCGTCGGTGGCCAAAAATCTTTGTGATAAACGAAATTTCTGTTTCTCTCCAGAAAAAAAAAAGTCCTAATTGAATGAGTTTTTCCTCCTTAAATTGCACAAAATGCGTATCACACCAAGAAATTTGTATTGGTAATGAATCATTTTCTACGGCATGGTACCACTGGCCTTATTAATCCTCGCCCAGGCGTTTTTTTTTTATCGCGCGACCCGATGAGGATGGCAGGCAACCTCTCCCTTGGAATCACTTTTTGACTCCCCCCAACTCCCGGTCAATCGAAAGTTCAAATCGATCACACAGCAAAATACGCCTTGCAGGCTATATTAATCCCTTCCTTTAAAACGTTTTCAAGAATCACGTTAGTATGCCAACGAGGTGTAAGGTTGGCTTTAGGTGCATTTTTTTAACCTTCTTTTATCCGTTCATTTCAAACCAGTTTCTTGTATTGACTATTTTGGCCTCTTATATGTGACAATTCTAACATTCACGTACAGTATAAAGGATTAGAGAGGTGACCTACCAACCCTTTTGCCCCAACCTGCCAGGTCGCTAATTGTAATTGTTGCACATGTGAATTCATTTCTCGGGCTTGGCAAAGCATAATTTTTAGAGCAAAATTTGATTCCTGTTTTTCAAGTTTGTTGCTTAAAGAAGTGAAATCGCATGTGCAACAATTGAGATTAGGAACCTGGTGGGGTGGCCTGTGCTACCTGGTCTCTAATCCCTTATGCTGTCAACTTAGAATGTCCCATATAAGAGGCCAAAATAGTTAGTACGACAAAAACGTTTCCAAAGAACGGATGTAATAGTCTTTAAAAATGCACCTACAGGGAGTCTTGTAGATTCTATGTAGAGTATTTTAATGTGACGTCTCGTTGACATCCGGGTTACGTGATTTTGACGTTCTAAAGGAGATAGGTCTGGCCGGGGGTTTTGGGTTTTCAGGTATCTGGGCTCAATTTTGTTCAGGTTTACGGAATTTTAGTGCCAAATAAAATAATTAGATAAATGATCTTTAATCACCGGTTGACAAGGTCCAGACTCAAAACAGTTCGTTCGCACAAGGTTCGAGGCAGGGGGGGAGTTGCCCAGGAAATTGGTGCAATGGACCTTGCGGCTATCTTCGTCGCTGTCTTACGTTACGTCCTAGAGTACAATGTTGCGTGGCTTGATATAACGCCCTTCCTGCCCATCTGCCTAGTACAATAGAGCGGGTCCAAATGCGAGCTTTAAGGATAATATACCTTCGGAAGCTTTACAGTTTCCTAGAGTCGTTAGAGTTTAGGACAGGCGCAGTGGGTTCTGTATGAGCATTATAAACAAAGGCAGGACCTTGTCAGAACACATAGCCTGCGTAGCACGCCCTTGAAGGTAGTGGGTGCAAAGAAGAACGGGCGCGCAAGAGAGACACGCGGAGACACCCGTTCTTTCTTGCGTCCACTACTTTGAAGGGCCTGCTACGCAGGCTAAGAACACTATAGAAATGGCGTCTCTGGGGGAGCATGCCGCCTTACCCCGCCCGTAGCGGCTCGCTCCTTGTCTTTGGACGCTGATACTAGATTCTGGGATAAATAAAAAAGCCGGGTTGGACGGTCTGTCTCAGTCCTGAAATACCTTATTTAGGTATATAGTATTCTTTTTCAAGGTAATTTCAGGCATTCGGTATCAAACGTTTTACAAATCTTTAGCTATATTGGTATCTTATGAGGACAAAAGCGGGTATATTGGTATCCCACCGTCCCCCACCCTCACCCCTCCTATGCGGGCCGGGCCTAAAAAAAAAATGGAAGGGCGGAGTCCATGCCGTGAAAATAATGATTCATTACCAATACAAATTTCTTGGTGCGATATGCATTTTGTGCAACTTAAAGACTCATTCAATTAGGGCTTTTTTTTTCGGGAGAGAAGCAGAAATTTCGTTTTTCACAAAGATTTTGGAGCACGACGGGTTACGTAGCCACGTGACCATAACATTACGTGACACTATCACACTATGATTTGATTTTGAAACGAAACTGCCTAACTTCAGCTGCCTGGATAGACTTCTTCCATCAAGAATCTAAAGTAAAGGTAAGCGTCTTATTTACCGAGAACAGATAAAACGGTAAATTACTAATTGTTTTTGTTGTGCGTCAAACGTTTTTAAACAGCCTGATTATTACAATAATTTATGAACTTTTATATGCACCGCGGTGGAATTCACTCTGAAATTGCGGAAAGAACTTAAAATTCTACGTTGCCTTTCTTGTACATGTTTTGTATCCCGGGGTAGTGATATTTAGTTTCATTCCTTAGAGAGCTTGGATCAACTTCTGATCTAGAGAATTCTATTAAAAACATTGTTTACTGTTCAGTGCAGGTAGTTACAAGACGATGGCGCCCGCCAGTTGATCGTGGTAATCGGTACCATGCATGACCATCCCTGTTAGTATATCTCATTCGATTCAAAAGTACTTAAAGAAGCTTAATTACTTTCTTTTAGAGGCCGGAGATGAATTCAAGTATCAAAAGAGGCAATTTTATGGAACTTTTAACCTGTACAATCATGACATCTGACACGGCCTGTAATTATGCAAATACGCAAAATGGCAGATTATAATCTACTGTTGGTTGCAATCCCAGAAGATACCCGCAAGTCCGAGCCTATAAACCAAAAAAATAAGCTTAAAACTTTACTTTGATATGATTTTTAAACCAGATTTAGGCCGCAACTTTTGAGATATTTTGCCTCAAATCTTCCTTACTTTCAAGGTTTCGATCAAGCCTGCAAAATAGGTATTCCTTGAACCACTGTAACTTGAACACGTTTTGATCAAAGATATTTTTATTTAGCCTGTGAACTATCGAAGGTTAACTAAAAAAACTGAATTGAACAGATTTTTTGTGCGGGCATTCGGTTGTTTGCAACGCGCTTTTCAAAATCCATCAATTTTAGTCTTCGAAACACTCTCTGAGAAGCCGAGACGGACTCAATTCGTTTTTGGCTTGTAGCAGAGCTAAGAATAAGAATTTGAAAACAAAAATAGCGATTTTAGTATACACCTACTAAAGCCTCTTCACCGACAAAAAATAAAGCAAAAGTATTTTTTGTCGCGAAATCGAGTGGACCGCTTTTAGGGAGACTGCCTCTTAAGTTACATGAAGTGGAGCTCGGCTGCTTATGAAGTGGAACGTGGTCTCACTTCCTCCCTTTGATAACGGGAGTTATATGAGTGAAAATGTCTGCTCAAGAGGAACTGCGGCGACTGGGCTTGTTTGACTTGGCTCGCGCTAAGTTAGTCGAAGCACACAAGCTTATGGACGAAGCATGTGAACTCATTAACCAGGGCCTTGGTAATCTTAAACCAGAAAAGTCAGCCGCTGAAAAGTTGTCAGAAACCCTAGACTCGGATGTCCACGTTGGCAGCACGATTAAGTTAAACGTCGGTGGAAAGATATATAAAACTACACTGGAGACCTTGAAAAAAGATCAGGATTCTATGTTGTGTGCGATGTTTTGCGGAAGGCATAAAGTGAAACCAGACCCCGAAGATGGCGCATATTTTATTGACCGCGATGGTAAACTTTTCAGGTAAGTCTGCATGTGCCATAGAACGTAAAGTTAAAACGAACTTTACCCTCACTAAGAAGTAAAAGAAACAATACACTTTCTCCGTTAGCAGAACTGCGGATTATTGCCTTGCTGTTGCTAGGTTCTATTCATTATGACGTTTGAAATAATATTCCTTGAGTGAGTGCGTGTGGTAAAAACGTGTTTGTGTATGTGCCGTGCGCTTATGATCTTATCCTTGAAAAACGTAATATTTAACACGCAATAACAGTGGACTTGATGTACGAGATCATCGGTTTAAAAACCGCTCGTTTCCGTCCAGCGATTACAAAAAACTCCACTCCAGGAAGCGTCTTCGAAAATAAACGCCGTTTAAGATGAGAAAGAAGGAAAGCTCCCTGTTTTTTTTTCTTTTTTTTTTTTTTAATTGGATATGAGGGGACGCCCGGACTTTACCGTAAACGAAGCCCAACGTGCGACAGCGTAGCGAGCGTCGGTCACGTGATTGCAATATCTCTTATAGCGACTTCTTATCTGCACGTGCTTCAACACGTTTTTCCTTTTTCCTTGCTTGGTGGCCATATGTAGAGTTTCTACAGAAATGATTCGGTGACTATTACAATTTGAAGGATTCTTCCTGCCAGGAGCACGCAAATGTTAAAACCGAAATACCATATATAAGTTGAAATTTCAAAAACGTAAGTTTTTGAATCTGTTTTATGCAAATCTTCGACTGTTTTAATTGAATGTTTACAAAAGTGAACGTTGCTAGCAGCATGAATTCTAACATCAGGAGCCAGTATTTAATACTACGAACGAATATCGATTTCTGGCGTTACTGTTAATGCAAGTCGAACAACGCTCAAAATAAGTACGAGCAAATCGAGATTGTAAACAAAAAAACTGAGCCAGATTAATTCGATAAATATCATTATAAACGCGAAAATTTCAAAACACGACTCTTCCGAGTAACGTGCGTTATTCGAAAGGTAATGTCAAACCCTCAGCCTCCATGAACATTTTGTAGCGGATGTGACTAAAAACATGGTTGTTTGTGCGAGGACTGATTATTCACGAAACGGACTGAAAGAAAGAGCTTCTAACAAATAACAATTGAAAAAAGAGATTGCCATGTCAGCGGTTACATAGAAAACGGAGCACGCATTTGTCTTTCGATTCTACAACATTAAAAATTTTGTTTTGTTTATTTCTAACCTAGTAAATAATAAATGTTCCGCTTAGGTACATTTTGAACTATCTTCGAAATGGCGAGCTCCTTTTCCCAGAAAACAAAATTCTCAGGAAAGAACTACTTAACGAAGCCGACTTTTATCAGATTCAAGGGATAATCGTTCAACTAAGTGAAAACTTAACCAGACTATCCAAAATAATAAAGAATGAAGATCATGGCTTCACTGCCATGTCATGGTTGCCTCCTTGTGCTTCTTGTACCTTGCTGTTCCGAGCCAGGATCGACGGAAAGACTGCTGCGGACTTTCACCGTTGCTGTGACAACAAAGGGCCTACCCTTATAGTGATACAAAGTGGAGTATACATCTTTGGCGGCTACACATCAAAGTCATGGACATCACGTATGTGCTCCATCAATTTGTAAAATATTTCAGACTTAACATTTATGTCAGTAGAGATAAACCTTGTCCCTCGGGTGTACATGGCGTGCATCATCATGATCATCATCGTCATCATCATCATCATCGTTATCATCATCATCATCGTCATCATCATCACCATCATCATCATCATCATCATCATCATCATCATCATCATCATCATCATCATCATCATCATCATCATCATCATCATCATCATCATCATCATCATCATCATCACCATCATCATCATCATCATCATCATCATCATCATCATCATCATCATCATCATCATCACCATCATCATCATCATCATCATCATCATCGTCATCAGCATCAACATCATCATTATCATCATCATCATCGTCATCATTATAAACGTTAAAGGCCCACTAAAAGGATTTCTGTTCAGGATTTCGCTCTTTTGTAAAGGAAACATTAAAATACTACCTAAAAGAGCAAGTACTATTTTTTTTCTTATGATATTTATTCACATAGCCCAAGCAACGCAGTACTACATTGTTGAAACTGAGAGTGAATGGTATCATGCAATCCATTAATCAATCATCAATTTTTGATTTCAATTGACAATTCTATTATTGATCAAGTATAAACTATTTTTCTTGAACTGCAGACTAATATCCATTGTATACAAGGTTCAGAAAATCTCCTAACCAATTTGTTTTGAAATGTTGGTCCTTAGGGGTGGGAGGAGAGGGCTTGCATTTTGGCTGTTTTATTTATTTATTTATTTATTTATTGTTTATTGTTTAGCTTCCTCCTTAATCACCTTTGCTGACACTGACTCCTTCTTGTTTACACTGATCAATCCTGCTGGGAACCAGCCGGCAAAGCTTACCTCAAAACCAGCTGGCGGAATACGATGCTGTAGTGGTAGGGGACCAGCTTTCGGTAATAAAAGCTACTACGACCTCAAAATTTGGGACGGAAATCAAGCAGGTTACCTTGATCTCGGCTACGGTTTCAACTTTCCCAGTTCCGAGAACAAAACAGGATACTTCACTGGCTCTGACGGTTTTGTGGTTACGGAATTAGAAGTTTATAAAGTGGGGTTTAAGAGTAAACTTAGCACTTGATGCTATAGTTTTATTAGTTCATATCTCACTGTATTTTTGTGCGACAATTGTGCCTTTTAGCTCTGTAATGTACTTTGTGAACACCTTTAAAAAAAAAATGATTGACTACTTCTAAAATACAATTTGATCGATAATGTTTATAAAATTTCCTTGCAGGAACTATGTGGCACCCCATGACTTTGATAAGACTCTGTTTTGTACTGTTTACCTGGGGACTGGAGATCAAAATAACGACTGATACTGACCATGTTCTTGTTTTTGTTTTTCAGTGTTGTTTTGTTTTGTGTTGTTTTGTTTTTTTGGTCATAAGAACGTCCATTTTTCGAGTTAAGCCTGGACTGTTCTTATTTTCTGGACTGTTTCAGCCTGGAAATGTTCTTTCTTATGCTCTTATATTTCAATGAAGGAACTCTGATAACTTTTTTTAAAAAGCTTCATACAGATCTGATGACAGGAATGATGTATTATTGACGACACACAAAAGGAATGTGTCGAAAGAACAAAATTTTACATGCATTCTGATTCGTTGTAGGATATTATGTAATTCAGATTTTCTGGATTTAGGAAAGTAAAAGCAGTGAAACGTTATTTTTTCTTCTCTGATTCTCGGGAATGTTCGTAGCCACTTTGGCAAATTTCAGGCATGAACGTTCCCTTGCACGAAAGCCTGGTTAAGCCTGGAGAGTCAGGTAAACCATGGTTGAACCAGACTTACCAGGCTTTTTTAATTGAAAGTGGTAAAATCTTGTAAAAAAACAAAGAGTGTATATTTTAATTTCCTAGAAATTTACGTACGTACTACAGTTTTTTTGTTCTGATTGCAGAGATCCCTGAAACTCAAACTTTTTACGTCGAATGAGGTCAAGTTCAGTGCTGTCAGAAAAAAATATAAATATATATATTAGGGTTTATGACAGGAACATTTTCAGGGAGAAATGGTGACTCGTCATGCCGTTCAGATCAAATTTTCTCTAGTTAAATTCTTGTTTTACCTGTGAGGAAGAGAAGGTGGTGGGAAAAATTAAATGAAAAATCGTTGTTGCAATAATTACTGCTACTTAGGATTTTGGGAAAATCGTAAACTTGCCTTGTTTCTAAGTGTAAAGACTGTAAAAGCTGCCACATGACGGCTGTGATGTCACGTTATGGCACAGTTTCATCTTCCTTGGAAACTGTAACACTATGCAGTCATGTCGAGAGTCCATAATGTCTGTAGTGTCCGTAATATTGGCAATAAAGCGATACAAAGCTGTAACTCTGAAGGTCAGATACAAAATACTGTTTAATTCAGTTGGCAAACAAGTCGAGTCTTTTACACCCTCCTCGTTGCTTGTCATTTCATCGATTTATGTTTTCTATTAAAAATAACTTTTGCAAAAAGGGGGAGGTAATTGTGGTCATCGGCGTGTTACATGGCATGAAAGTGAAGTGTCAACTGTTGCGTCGAAATTTTTTTTTTCCTTTTCTGCCTACCGGCGTGCTGTATGGCATGAAGGTGAAGTGTAACTTAATGCGTCAGATATGCAAGCGTCACCTTGCGCTTCAAATTTTTTTCCTGCATGCAAGAAATCACACTTTATTTTCTTCGACAAAACAAGTTAGGTTTCATTCTTACATGACATTGCAAGCCAATAAAATCACAAGTGCGCAACAGACCCTGAGTCTCTCCTCCGCACAGGGCTCTTTGAGCAACAGACCCAGAAACTGTAAACACGTGCTCTGACTCTAATGAGAGCTTTTTTTGTTTGTTTATAGATAACTTGTTCTCTGAGCCATTCCTATTAATGCGACGCAGAAAAATTTTCTAACAGCTGTTAAGAACATTTATGTTTTTTTTTTCCTGTTGTTGAATCCGATCCCAGGAAAGTATCTTTTACAGCAGTCGCTTCCAGTAATATCTAAAGAGCATTCCACATTTTTGTAAATTCTTTCAAATGTAAAGCCCTAAGATATACCTGAATGGGTCAATATCGTGACTCTCTTCGTCCCAAACGTCCTACGTGAGACCAAAATCTGCAATGTACACCCCTAGGCGAGACGACGAGCATCACCGTTATTTTTGTATGGGTAAACGATCCATAGCGAAGAGGATGAAGAGAAAAATACCATATTTAAAATTTTCGTCCGATTTGATCAGTCATGGTGTTTTTGTTGTTGTTGTTTTGTTTTGGCTTTTCTTGAACTCAATTCCTTCATTTTTGTGATACTTGCGATAACTTTAGTGGAAGAATAAAGCCCTCTGTAGTTATAAACAGAACGTTGAAAGTTTAGATCATTATGTTGGTGTGTTACTTCCAACACAATTCATATTCATAAAGCGATATCGTGGAAAGAAACCGACAAAGCACGAACTGCTTACGGAAGGGAAAACCGCGGATGACCGCATCTGAGTGTGAGAACCAGTTATAGGGGCACAGGGGATGCAACATTTTAAAAAACGCACGCAAACATATTGAGACAAAAATTGGACGAGATTTTGGGAAGGTTTTTATCATTCTGAATCTATTTTTCCACAACAGACCAAGCCAAACCAGTCTTGAGGGAATGAATTTAATAATTTGAATAATATTAATAATATTTTTTATTATTATCATTTTTTTATAGAATATTTTGTTTCAGAAGCCTATTGATTTGTTTTATTTGTCGCCGTTGTACGTCACAGACCAGTTCAAAAATTAGGGGTGGTGAGGATTCGTTTCCAATGCTTAACTGAAAAATGTAGCTAACTAACGCTTGTTGGATTTGTTGCTTGTTGTGCTTTTTATGTATTGGACGGGTTTTGATATTTATTTTTCAATATCATAAAGGCTCGAGTATTTATCTCCCAATATCGAAAAGGGAGTAGTTTTAGCTCTCTGGCATATATCAGACAAAAGGGAACATAAGTCCAGTTTTACGCACGGTATATTTAATTGACCATAATTGGGGAAACTAACCAAAAAAGATGCCTTTTTTGCTTTAGCTTTCTCGCGTGTCTCTGTCAATTTTGTTGTATTTCATATTGATCGTGAGTAGGTAATAAAAAAGAGGGAAAACGTTGTCCACTTAGCTACCTAAATCCTGTTTGAAGCTTTTATTATATAATTATATATTATATTATATCTATCTATCTATCTATCTATCTATCTATCTATCTATCTATCTATCTATCTATCTATCTATCTATCTATCTATCTATCTATCTTTTTTTTTGAAAACCGGGTTGCCTGAAATCTTAAGTCAAGTCCAGCACATTGCAGGCAATCTTTCAAAACTTAATTCGCTTAAAGCCCTGATACTTTTAGTGTAAAAATAACAATCTCGCTCTTCAGGACTAACCACCCTCACCTCTTAACCATGGGCTCCAAATAACTTCCTGGAATTGACAGAAATCAGTGCAAATTCCAGAAAATTTATTGAGGGGCAACAGCCCGTCGCGTAGGGACGGGCTGTTGTCCCCGTTGGCCCAGCTAATATTTTTTGAGGGGGGCTTCCGTCAAACTAAGTCTCATGTTGTTGCACAGACACAGGGCTATCATCTGGTATGCATTTGGGGTAGCCTGGTTAAATTCCAGGGGGGTGGGGTTGTTGTAAAGACTATGCTTTGTGCTAGAGTGCAGATTTGCTGAGTCTTTGTACCTGGGCTTACCCCTGTCTTTCAAAGCTCAATGTCTCCCTCAAATTAAGGGGGGGTTGTGTCTGGCTGGCTGTCATGTTGTTGCACAGACACAGGGCTATCATCTGGTATGCATTTGGGGTAGCCTGGTTAAATTCCAGTGGGGTGGGGTTGTTATAAAGACTATGCTTTGTGCTAGAGTGCGGATTCGCTGAGTTTTTGTACCGGGGTTACCCCTGTCTTTCAAAGCTCAATGTCTCCCTCAAATTAAGGGGGGGTTGTGTCTGGCCGGGTGTCATGTTGTTGCACAGATATGGGGCTATCGTCTGGTATGCATTTGGGGTAGCCTGGTTAAATTGCAGGGGAGTGGGGTTGTAAAGTTTGATGTGTTTTTGCACTCTTATGCAGTTTGTTTGTGCTGTTTGCATGCAAGCAATGACCCACTCTGTTCAGAATGTTCCTAGTCAGCAAGCAGTTGAACTGCTGGTTTTAGGACTTGCTTTTGTTGAGCAGTGTTGGCTTAGATTGTTTTTGGGAGACCAGCGTCAATTAAAAATAGGGTGAACTGGGGAATTGGCTTTGCAATCGGTGACACCGACACTAAAAATTGCTTCTTAAAATGCCTTATTTTCCAGATTAATGAGGAAAACGTCACTTTTGTTACTTTCAAGATAGACGATTCTATCAAATGGAGGCTCATGTATTCAATAATTTCTTTTTGAGGTGAGATTTTACTTTTCAAGTAACAAGGGCAATCAAATTAACAATCAGTGCGAGAGACTGACATTTTTTAGTAGCCCGGTTTTCAAAAAAACACGTATATATATATATACATGATGTGAATGGTTCATTCGTTAAATACTTGAATTTTAATCACTTAGGCCCCAGTTGTTCAAAGGATGGAAAACGCTAACCACTGGATAAGGCAATTGGTTAATTTCTCCCAATACACAATGGATTTAGCAATTATTCCTCGAGCCCGAACGGGCTCTCAGTGGATAGCAAAATCCAACTAGTTGGTCAAAAATATGGAGAATAAAAAAATTTTAGCTAGTTAAAAGCTAGGCCTTAATCCTTTTTTGCCGCCAAAAAGCCCGCGCTTTTCGCCACTAGGGGGCTATAACATATAGCCTAGTAGTAGCTCAACCAATCAGAACGCAGCATTGATAATAGACCACTGAGTTGGATTTTACTAAAATGATTTATTCAGTGGATAGCGCTATCCAGCGTTTGAAAAACAGGGACCAGATTCTGATGACCATCAATCTGGCTACATAATCACTAAGGAACATTTAATTAAATGCATTAATCTTCTGGTGTTATAGAAAAACTCTATTACTTACAGAAAATTCGTGGGATATTAAGGCTTAATTACTATATAGTAGGACGGTACGCAAGCATATTA